AAGATATGAAATCATTCCTTTGTGATCTTTTAGATATTTTTAATAGACTATATCCTATTAGATCTAACAGATAATAGGAATGAAAATTGAGGTTAATAATGTCACTATTTACAAATAGTTACTGTATGATAGGTCCAGTCCTGAGTGCTTTCCTTATATCATCTCATGTAACTCTTAAGGAAGGTTCACAATCCTTACTTTATGTATAAGGAATCAAGTCTCACAGACATGGGTCTCCTCCAGAGCATGCAAGTGACAGAGTCTTGATTTCATCCTAAAACCTTTAACCATTACATGGTTCTGTGAATAAAGCTTTGGAGACCCATTGAATTTATCTTAAACCTAGGGGATCTTCCTTGTAAATCAAGAGCACCATGAGCCTCAGCTTCTGTAGTGCATTGTGCCACTCCTAGCAGCATTCTTTCAGAGCGCTGGTCCTTGGAACAAATCCTATAGGTATTTCTTGGCAGCTTCTGGTACAAAAATAGCCCTGCCTTCTACAAAACAGATGCTTGTTTGTTCCTACCTTGCACCTCATCCTACATTTTGGTAACAATTCAGCCCCTTCCTAATGCCATGAAGCCTTGTTTGTTTGGTGTTTGTCCCCATAGTTGATCAGATAGCCAAAGGAAAGGACAAAGACCATGGAGGGAGCTGTGTGTCCCAGAGCCCCCAAAGTGCCCTGTGCCTGAGCCACATCAGGCTTCCCCTCCTCTCTGAAGTCAGCCACCTAACAATCCTAGTCAGCCTGAGTGATGGCCACCATCCTTTGCTTCCTTCCAGAAACTTATTTTAGAAACTTGGAAGAGAAATTGACCCAGAACAAACTCATCTTGAAGGACGAGCTGAAAACCTTGCTTCATTTGTGTCAGTCCCAGGAGGACATGGAGCTGGCTAAAAATGTCATTCACAGGTGAGGCACTTCTTTAGAGTTTCTTAACCTTTCTCTCTTCTCACTGTCTTCCTTTCCCACAGTTTAGGAGATTCCAGGGCACGGTGCTGGCATCAGCTCGGTTCTGGTGAGAATCTTCTTAGCTCTGTCACATAGTGGATGGCAGTTCCAGGAGCATGTGGAGAGCAAGTGATCTTATCCCATAGGGCAGTAATGGGCGAATCTTTTAGAAGTTTCAGTGATACAAAAGCCTGCTGCTGCATGCATGCCAAAGATTCGCCACTACTGCCATAGAGGAAGCCAGAAAGCTGGGGCAGGGGGCAGCTTTGCTCAAATGTTATAATCTCTTTCTCTAGAGAGCTGCTGAGGGGTCACAAGAGAACCACCTTCGTGCCTTGAAGGGCAGCATTCTCATTTGACCTAAGACCTCCCATTAGGCCCCTCCCTTAAAGCCTCCATGTCTCCTTGCTTGCTGTCACCCTGGAGACCAGGCTTCCAACACAGACTCTTCTTGGGAAATGAACCAAATCCAAACCTTAGCAGAGGGTATGAACTTTTTAAAGCTTGTCAATATAAAATAGCAGAATATTTTCCAAAAGGATCATGTAATTTACAGCCATACTGTGTCAGCAAACCTCCTTTTTTTTGTATTGCAGTTTCACAATATTAAATCATTAGAGTCCCTTTGACTGATTTTCCTCTTCTCTCTTTACTGCCAATAGCCGACAGGTGCTTTTGTGTTGTTTTGGTTTTTTCAGGGGGACAGGTCTCACTATGTAGTTCAAGCTGACCTTGAACTCACGATGTAGCCCAGGCTGGCCTCAAATTCACAGTGATCCTCCTACCTCAGCCTCCTGAGTGCTGGAATTACACATGTGCACCACCACGTCTGGTGACAACAGATGTTTATAAGAATAGCAAAACATGATAAATATTTGGAACAGGGCCAGGGATTTAGCTCAGTGGTTCCACTGCCTGCCTCGCAAGTGCAAGATCCCAAGTTCGATCCCCAGTACCAAAAAAAAAATTGGGAACATCTTTTCCACATATTTCTATTATAAGCATTCAAAGTATGATTCAGGCTGGGGATTTAGCTCAGATTTAGTTTCTTGCTCTGGGTCAGTGCTAGGAAGAAGTTGAAGAACACCTTGGGCAGCTCTGAGGTGATGGGATTTCTTCATTTCCAGCCCTGTACCAAGCGGCAGTGAACAGGGCTATCTCCCCTCAGGTGGAGAACGGTGTCTTCTACATGGTGCCACAGTCACGAGAGGAAGGGAACCCCTGTGCCCAGAAGACATGAAAACACGTTCTGTGTCTAGTTAGGTGGTTTCCAGGATCCCTGGAGGTGGAGGCTACAGAAACCAGAACATCACCTGTGGACAGAGCTGTCAGAGGCAAAGACAAGCTTACAGATAAGCAGTGGAGAGAGGACCGCCTCACAGACAGTCCCATCTCGTGTGTGTAACAAACAGACTTCTGTGACAAAGAACCAGTTAGAGATTTTTATAAATCAAATACCCTCCCTAGTTAAAGTAAAACTCCGGAAGGGGAAGGGGAAGGGGAAGGGGAAGGGTTAGGTTCTCTCGCCTGCCTCACAAGCGGTAGGTCCTGAGTTCGATCCCCAGTACCAAAAAAACAAAAACGAAAACAAAGTATGATTCAGAATTCTTTACTGCTGCTGCTAACACTCCGTCCAGCTGCTGTCCATTCCTCCACTTGTGGACGTTGGGTGGGTGGGAAGCTGGGGGGCATCCATGGCCTACCCTGCTTGTTCCCTGTCTTCCTGGGGCAGGCAGCTTACAGCTGGGAGAGGATAAGGGTCATGAGCTGGAACGAAGCTGCTTAGTGAGATGCAGATGGGGAGCAACTTAATCCCCTCATAATTGTGACCAAATGCTTTCATTTGGTTTATAGGGGATTTTAGATCCTTTTCTTTGATTATTTCTTGTCAAGAGGTAATTATCTCGGTGACTTTGTAGCACATTTTGTTTTGTTTTGAGATGAGGTCTCACTAAGTTACCCATGCTGGCCACAAACTGATGATCCTTTACCTTATCCTCCCAAGTAGTTGGGATTACTTGTATGTCTGGCTTTTCTTTTTTGCCAGTGGTGGTTTTTCTAAGGTTTATTGGCAAGAATTTAATTTTGAATATGAATACTAGTTTGGGAAAACTTTTGTTTTGCTTTCTGCTGTTTTTATTCTACTACAAGTTTCTCATGAGACTATTTACTGAAATGTGTTTATAGATTTTAAAGATATTTTTTAGTATGCCATACATTTTATAAGAACCAACATATATTGTAGATTTGTCCTCTCCCAGGCAACCTTTATCTCATTTAATCCTCATAAAAACTTGTTTTGAGTTCTGTTTTTGTCTCCATTTTACAGATGTAGAAACTGAGGCATTAATTTGCCTACTGTTATACATATTGTAAATAGAGCTGAAATTTGAACCATCATTTTGAAATCAGAGTATAAAAGTTCTTAATCACTATACTCTTGTCTTTTACTAATTTAACTCAAATGTTAAAATGAACCAATGAGTACTCGTATAATTTCTGTGATTGGATTATGACACACATAAAGCAAGTACACATCATCCTTCTGTTTGACAATATAGATGTTTAGAATAGACTGATCATAATGCCACTTCAGGTATGCTCAGTTACTTCAGCGGGGGGAAAAGAAACTATTCTGTTTTGTAAAGTCAGAGCTTTCCCCCTAGTATTTTAAAGCTATTTACATCATGAAAATCTGATTTACATGTAAGCATAAGGTACTTCTTTGGTCACCAAATTGCCCTTGTATTGTCTATAGCAGAATGGGTTGGTAATTCAAAGTAAACCTATGTCAGTGATTTATAGTTCCAACTGGCAGACTGGTACCTGTACAAATCTCAAGCATACATAAAATGCCACTGCCTTGAAATTAGCTTTTTCTCAAGACTTAAAAATTTCAGAAGGACATTTCATTTGTTTATCTAGGTGATCATAGCTCACATATGCCTTACCCTGGACGCTGTGAAGCTGAGATTGCTACAAGTTGTGAAGTGTGTCTGCTGTCCTGTAAGGGCATGAAGCCAGCCTTGAGCACGAAGCATCACCCTCTCCCTCCCACCATACAGTTTGCTTGTTCTCCAGGAGGTGGGGCCCTTTCTCAGGACCTCACTTATACCCTAATACAGGCTTATACTCCCTCCCAGCCATTGCCACTTAGTTTAAAGAATGATTACAACATAAGTTTTTCTTCTCTTGCTTTTATTGCACAGGGCATGTTGGCCTGTAACAAAACCTGTTTGTATATTTGAATGCCTTCTGTATTCCTGCACTGAAGGATTCCTCTAATCCTCTGGTTTTATTCAGATCTCCACTTCTCCCCTACCACATTGGAAGCACCTATTCTTTATTGTGTCCTCTACACTTAGCAGAGTGTATACCATGACCTGAGTCTGTCATTTTTGCTGTGCTGTACCTTTTGGCTCACTGAATCATTTCGTTACCAGGTACCATGCAGAAAATAGAAATATGACTTTGGGGGAATATAAATTTGGACCAATTTTCATGAGGCTGTGTTATGAGATGGATCTTGAGGAATTTGCAGTGGAGCTCATCAAAGACCAGGTGATTGTTTTCTGATTCCTTCTGCAGATGTGATTTCCTTATGCCATGTTTTTGATGGTACTAGAAAAGACATCTTTTCACTGCATTACTCTTGGGTTTGATTTTCAGAGAAGGGCTGCTGAGCTGAATGAATGAACTGTTCTCTGCATTTTTAAAGTTCCTTGGCATTCATTCATGTGAAAAAGAGTCGGCCTGTATATAGAGGTGTGCACTGGTGGAGTACCAATGTGATCATGTCTGTCTGCTGTGGATGTGGATGTGTGCTGACCTGGCACATACACCTTCTCTTTGAGACAATTTCAGAGGAGAATGCTGTATGACAGGATGCCATTTCACGCTTGTTTTCCTAAGCTTCACTTTTGCTCTTTCTTTTTCTATATTTTTATTTCTGATTGAGGTTTTTGTTTCTAAAGTGCTTGTCCATTTTCAAAATGCTTTCACATATTCTGATTTTCTTTTCCTGAAAAGAAATAATTTATTTTTGCAGTTATTTACTTTGTCAATTTTACATGTGTTATTTCATTACCATAATAGCCCTGATGATATGTCCCTATTACTATTTCCACTTTACAGATAGAAAACTAAGACCTAGAGACATATAAATTCATGCATGCTCAGAAATATTTGTTAAATTTTGGGGCTAGAGCTGGCCACCTTGTACATTTTAGTATATTCAGAAACCTTCGTAACAAGCTAGTTGATCTCTCTTTTGTGTAGAGTGTTCTGTATGTGGTAGAATTGTTCGCCCCAGGCTTGTCCCTCCTCAAGGACATCAGTGCATTATTACAAAGATGACCATAATATGTTAATAAGCAGAGGAAAAGTAGTTTTGGAGTAGTACTGATAGTTTGATATATAATTACATTTTAGCACATTATGTATTAAAAACCTGGAAACTAAACTGAGTATCTTTAATGTTAGAATTACTAAAAATTGTCCTTTTTAATCATAGTTTTGTACTAAGATATGGTAAAAGTACTCCCTTAATAGCTTTAACTTCTAACTAATCTGCATTATTTTTTCATTAGCATTTACGAGGTTTCTTTGCAGACCCCACATCATTCAATATTTTGATGGATATGTTATTTATCAAGGAGAAATACGAAAGTAAGTACCACAACCTATGGTTGATGAAATATCTTACTGTCTTTGGTGGTATTGCTATTAGGAAAAAAAGTGGACCGTGCAAAAATGATCCTTAAGTTCCTCATGAGGGACTGAACAACAGAGACCTTACTGTAAGTTTGAACACATTGCATTGCATGGCATGTCTTGAAGTAAAACCTCAGATTTTCTTATGCTAAAATTAGAGTGGGTTTTAATATACTATATTTGTTCTTCCTAAATAACCTGGTCATTTATTTTGATATTTAGTTAACTGCTAAATGACTTTGAGAAATAGCTTTTTATTAGATGGTACTTAACAGGTCAGGGTTTGGGAACCAGCAGTCGAGGAACCCTGGCCTTGCTATAATGCATTTAACATCACTGGCCCTCTCCTCCCTTTGGCAGGTGCATTGGAAATATTGATAGAGATGAAAAACCAGGATGTGAAGTTCGCCCAAGATACCTATGTCCTTGCTTTTGCAATTTGCTACAAGCTGGTAAGACTATTGCCCCCTAACTTTCAGGGGATGTGGGTGGTGGTTAAGAGAGAATTTTTTTTTTTTCTGTCTCTCTTTCTCCAAATAAAATTCAGTTCCTCTCAAGTGTGTTTTCCATCTGGTGCAAATATTTCAATCTTAAATGTATTCATTTTTACGCAGCAGGCAGCGAAACCACTGAGCTTTGAGCTAAATCCTCGGCAAATGTATTCATTTTTAGAAAACTCAAGTTAGCCTTGTCTGACAGTTTTTTCATTGTGAAAGCAACTTAGCATCTTTTACCCTTCTCTGCTGATTGTGTAGATGGTGAGAACAAGAGATAGTGTGTCAGCTTCAAGCTGTGCTCTAGAGTTCCTGCACACTGGAATCCACTAGATCTGTTTCCCTCCCCTCCTAAAATTGCACTATCCTTCTCTGACAGATTCCAGTACTACTTTGGCCTGATCTGTGATATCTATCATGATCACTGAAGCTGGCAGTGACATTACCTCCAGCACATATCCCTTGATTGTGCTCTGTTTGTATCACATACCTGTCCTTTCAACTCTGCCCAATTATTGTACTTGGATTCCATCCTTTCCACTGGAGTAAGAGCTCCTCAAGGGTTCTTTGTATCCCTGTGTCTGACACAGTACCTAGTACCCAGCAAGTCTTTAATAAATGTGTGTAATGTTACAGTGAACTCTTTGTGGACAAAGACCGTGACTTGTAAGTCCTTATGTCGTTAGTATGCCAGGATTATTTCTTTCACATAGAAACTATTGCTTTAATATTTGTCAAGTGAATAAAAGTGAAATGAATGAAGTTCAATATAGTACTATACTCATTCATATCATTTAAATTTTGGACACCTGGATAACTGAAAATGAAGGGACCCCAGCCAGTGTAAAAAGAGAATGAACCATTGAAAAATTTCCCTAAAGAGGGTAGCTGTACCAACTTTCCAAAACAAGAGGAGCAGCTGGGTTACAATGGAACCAAAATGAAACTGGAAATTGAGAAACTTGAAGTCTAGTCTCAATTTAGTATTAACTGGCTTATTTAGTTTTGAACTGATCACTTAGCTTGTTTATAAAATGAGACAGCTGGATTTGGGGTTCAGCAAACTTTTCTGTTAAGGCCATATAGTAAATATTTTAGGCTTAGGGTTCACAGTTTCTACCACATACAATCTCTGTCACATATTCTTTGTTTTTGTTTTTGTAAGTCTTCAAAAATGTAAAGACCATTCTTCATTGTAGGCTGGATTTGGCCCTAGAGGTATAGTTTGCTGACCCCTGGATTGGATCATTCTTTTCAATCACACCACTGTTAGGATTTTGTCAAGTAGAAGGCCAACAAAACACACAACAGTAAAGCATTGGTTATTCAGCATCGTGATTCCCAGTTTTCTGGGCTACCTAGGGATGTCTCCCGAGTATATGCTGAAGTGGGGAGAATTTAATTCTGCTACTTAGCAAGGTTCAGAGGACTTTTCTTCCCTCTGTCCAAGAATAACTTATTTCACTCTGTGGAAATATGTTGGAATACCGAGCTTGTCAGCCAGGACAGATTCCAAGTCCAATCTGGGAACTTCCCCTTCTCATCAAATTGAGACTATTTGAGGAGTGAGTGGTGAGCTGTGTCGTGATAGACACAGATGCGCAGTTGGCACTGCTTGTCCCACTGCAGCGTTCACAGAGGAAGGGACTTTGTTTTACTGTCATTGTCTTGATGGTTTACGCATCATTCACATTCTTGGAGGACTTGTTTTGTTTTAGGTTTCTGTTTTCATGAGATTCTTTCATAATTTAAGTTCAAATTAGTCTTTTACATTCCAGAGCCTGTGTATAGCAACTAGCCTGCCCAAATCCAAAGAGACCTAAGTGTTTGCAGGTAAAAAATGCCCCATGTCAGAAAATTGACAAATAGCTTCAAAAATAAAATTATTTTAGATTGGACTATTGACATACAGGTAACCTGGTCACTAGGAACTAGTGTCTAGAAGGGGCTTAGTCTTTGAAGTGGCTTGAGGTTAGCTCTGGGAAATTCTTACAAAAGAAGTCTAAAATGGCACTGTTAATCATTTTATTGAATTAAAGTTCATGACACTTATTGAACAATCTTGTCTCCTCACAGAACAGCCCAGAATCTTTTAAAATCTGTACTACATTAAGAGAAGACGCCCTAGTCAAAGGAGACATTGTCTCCAGGAGAGCATCCTGTTTTGCTGTGGCGTTAGCTCTGAATCAGGTAAAGCTGTGGGGTGCATGGAAGTGAATTGGGAGCAGGCAGGTGTTTACTACATTTGTTTGTCCTTGCTTTTGAGTGTATCATAAAGGAAAAGTCCCCAGAAAGAGAGCAGTGCCTTTGTTACCATGGCAACGGAATCTCTCCCTATGCCGGCAGATAAATGTTTTTATTTACAGTTGAGGACCTAAAATGTATTTCTACTTAGAATGGGTTGGCCAAGACCCTGTGAAGAATCAGAGAGGGAAGTTGCATTCTTGAGAGAAATTTCTTCGGTAACTAAAGTAAAAATTGCAAATAATCAGTTTTCTATGCAAATTCTCAGAGAGCAGTTTAATACTCTGCAAAGCTGAATTCCTTTCATATGAATGATGGCTCCAGGATCAGCCTATCATTAGAAGGAAGTTTCATAGATAGGCCTAACAATTACTTGAATAAGGCAGGTGAGCCCAGAGAGAAAGGGTAGCTCCCTGAGGCCATGCCTTCATGAAGGACAAAGAGCTGGAGCCCTGAAACAGTCCCTTAAAGGGCTCCTCCTTTTCAGTGACCTCGATTAAGGCCTAAAAAAATATGAAATACTGTACATGTTTACTATACAATGAAAGCGAGTATTATGGTAGAAAAATACTAACCTAGGCACGTTATTTATTTGGCTGGTAAAATGTGGCTGGAGAATACTTCGTTATGACGAAGATTTATCAGAGTGGTCCATTTCCATAACTGCTAGGAAAAGTCATTAAAGGACAAAGACTTCAGAGGATATACACTTAGCAGACATCCACAGGGTTTCGGTTATTTTTCTAACTTCTGAGCTTTCCTCTCAGTCCAGGGGAATTACTTTATCCTCTTAATCTGTCAAGAGCTGAGTGAGATGAATTAGTCTTTTCTAGGGTACATTTTCATTTCCTTTTGTAGCTCTTGTAGTTTTTCCTTTGTGTATGAGTAAGTTACACTGTTTGGAGCACAGATAGATCATCATTATATCATCTTTGTAAATCTCTCATTTTAGTGAGAGTGCAGTTCTTGGTTGTGTTTAATGCTTTTGCCCTGAATTCAACCTTAAGTAATATTAATAGCTCCACCTTTGTTTTTGTTTCTCTTTGTTTGGATTAGTTTCATATTTGCCTGATGCATATGTCTCTTCCTATCCTTTTATTCTCTCTCTTTTTTTATGGTATCCTTTTATTTTCTTTTCAATATCCAGCAAATAGTGATGTTATCCTTTTATTCTAAATCTTTTTAAAAAAATTCTCAGTCTTTTTGAATTATTTTGTTTTAGGTCAGTTGACACATTGTGTCATTTCAGATTTGCTTTATGCTAGTTTTTCTTTTTAGCATAACCCATTTATATTAATATGACATGTAGATGATCTTAAGTCTCATTTTATTTAACATTTTTTATTTTTATAGCTTTTAAAACATGTTATGTGGGTTTTTTATGGTTTTGTACTTTTGCCCTAGTGATTACTTTAAAATTGAAACTTTGTTTAACTTTCAGGTGTGTCCAATCTGTGACTGGTGGGTTGGACATGCCTGTGTTACAATGAAGAGTATTTTTTAAAAAGGGAAGTTTTGTTATTTATGTACATTAACTATATTCTATAGTCTATATTTTATATGTGGCTCAAGACAATTCTTCACAGTGCAGCCAGGTAAGCCAGACCACAGGTTGGGCATGCCTTTTCCTTAGACAGAAAATTAGAAAATTAGCCTTCCTAATTTTCTTCCTTTACTACCTAATTTTAATTGATATGTTATTTTTCATAGTGTTTGTTTTTCCCTTAAATATACTCAACATCCTTAAATGATATTTTTTAACCCACAAGTAATAAAGATGAGGAAATGAGCATACTTTATCTTCTTTTTCCCTTTTCTTTTTTTCGTTAGTATTATCATTTCTTCCTTGTTTAGTTATACTTTTGCACTCTCCTATAACTATATTGCCCATATTCATTTTGATCCTTTTGTGTATAAATAGGCCCATTGTTTACTGCTTGTTGTTTACTGCTGTTTTCTAGTCTTCTCTGTGTTTCCTAGTAAATTCTCCAGGGCAACAATATTCCTTGAGTTCTTGATATTTAAAGTTATTTTGTTTACCTTTTGATTTTGTACTTGAGCAACCATTTTGGAAATCTTGAAACTACAGATGATAAAATTTTGAGATGACACTTCTTTTGTGGAGGTTTTTTTTTAAGGTACTGATCTTTTTCTTCTGGTTTGGAATATTGCTTTGGAGAAATCTGAGGGCAGCCTGATTTTCTTCCCCCCACTTCTGATTGATGAAATTTTATTTTTCTCATTTCTGTCCTCCATATCCATAGGAACACTTTTGTATTGGGTTTCCTTGTCTACCAGTTATTTGCTTATTTTTGTTTTATTGGTTCCTTTCCTGGTTTTTTTTTTTAATTTAATTTCTTTGGAGTTCGTGTACTATTTCTTTTTGGGTTACTCATCATTCAAAAAATGTAAATTCAGGGGCGGGGATTTAGCTCAGTGGTTCTGCTGCCTGCCTCGGTAGTGCAGGGTCCCAAGTTCAGTCCCCAGTACCAAAAAAAAAATGTAAATTCATTATTAAAAAATGTAAATTCCTCTAGACCAGCCATTTATAGGAGATTCATGTCAGAGAGAGGTGCCAGAGCTTTGGTCTACATTAGCAGCTTCTCTCTTTATATACAACTTTATATGATTTGTAGGGTTTTGCCTGTAAGTATGCACAGATTTATTTTTCCCTAGCCAGTGAGAATAGGCACTGAATTGGGTTTTAGTAAACATTTTCTTTCTAGTGCTACCATAGGGACACACTGCTTCCTGCAAATATGGCTCATCTCTGGAAACCCTTGTCTAGTGTCCTCTCTGCCACATAGAGATTCAGAAGTTCCCCTTGCTAGTCCTAAGCCCTGCTCCCATCACTGTAAGCCAGGATTTAGTTTTTGTACCTGCTAAAAACCTCTGAGAACTATTTGTGGGCTTTTCCTCAGACTCACACAGCACCATCCTCCTCTGACTGACTTCCCCTGAACCTACCCAGGCTCCAGCTCCAATGTCTCTGTCAGTACTTCTACCTCTTGAGCTTTGAGGCTTTCCTGTTCCACTGATGGCAAAGATGGGTTTGCCTGTCTGTTTGTCGTTTCCTGTTTTTCTTAAAAACTGACTCCACTAGGATAAGGGGAAATGCCAACTTAATGCTTTCCTCCAAAAATTGGACTTGGACAGGTCGTTAAAACACAGGATAATGTGCCACTGGATGAAGCATTCTATGGAATGTTTATTTTTAATTACTAAAAATTTCTTTGTCAATTTTCTTTTGTCAAGCCTGGGGCCCTGTGAATAGGAATTTCCTGCCTCCTCTAAATGACCTTCACGATAGCACACATGTTCATGTGCTTTGGGGTATGACTTTTTTTGTCTTCTAGAGTGAAGTGGCCAAAGCTGCATCCATATTTTCTCAAATCATGAATCCAGAGACCATAACCTGCACTAATTTAAATGTAAGTAACTTCTTTAGGGTTTAAAGTAAGACTTAAATGTAGTAAAGTGTCTGCAGTTTTTGTCTGGATGCACTGACTTGATCTCCCAAGGTCTTCATTCAATTCAAAAGAAGAGACCTTAAGCTCCTCTATGTGAACATTACAGAATCACTCTTGTGATGGGTGTCAACACAGCCATTGCTTCCAGGAGTTTATGAAGGGGTGGGAAAGGTAGATATGCTTGGATGTAAGACATGGCTAAGTGCTGAAGATAAGAGGCTTAGCTAGGAAGGCTGTACATGGAGAGAGAAGGAGGGCATGGAGTTAGACTCACCAGACTCCTTACTGAGCCTTGAGAGTAACCTACATGCTAATTGCATCCCATCTGTGGTCTCTGACTCCTGTGTCATTGTGATCAGTGAGCTGATACACCTTGGGTGCATTACGTGGTGCCTGACACATGGTAAGCTTTCAGTAGCTGTTAGCTATTTTCATTTTTATTATATTCTAGTCTGTTGTGGCCCCTCAATCCTGCTGACTTACCTGGGCTACAAGTGACCTGTGTCACTTGTTTAGGACTTTGTCTGGATCACCAAGGGGCTGCAGTCATTCTATTAAGATATGCAAAACCGTAGCCCTAACACTAAAAGACAAAGCAAAAATATTCCTCTCATTTATACTGGATTTCCTTCAGTAATAAAGTTCAAAACATCCTGTTGCCACTCCCAGTTTTTGAACTGTGAGTCACCTAACCCTTCCTAGACCAGTGGAAAAAAGAAGATCATGTTATTAAAGACACCAGAGCCCCCACACAGCCAGCCCATTGAGGCCCTTCTTCTGTCCTGAGTGCAGCTGGGCTGAGGGGAGTTGTACAGGTGAAGCCCCTAATTTCTAAGCACGTCCCATCTCCTGAAACAGTCAAGGAGCTGAGATGAGAAAAATAGTTTCACAGGACAGAATTGTGTAGACACTAGTGTGCCATGAACTAGGAGAACAGATCCAGGCAGTGAAACAGAACATTCTAAGGTGAAGGCATGAAGGAAAGACAGGGCTGGCCGCGGAGTAGAGTGTGGGAGAAGGTCATTGTCCAGTCGAGTCCTGGAGGGGTCAGGGCTGTGGAGTAGGAGGGAAGGAGGTGCATGGACCTGCCTTGCTGCAAATTGCTTTGGGTGAGGCCTCTGTTTAAAAGAATGTAATTATTAATTGTAACCACTGCTTACTAGTTCTAAGACCTTCGGTAAGTTTCTTTGCCTCTGAGAACTTGAATTTCCTTTCATTTGAAACAAATGAAAAAAGCAGTCTTTTCATTGTGAGAACTGAAAGAAATAATGTGTGTTAGGTAGTTAGCACAGTGCCTGGCATATAGTTATTATGTGATGAATGTTTGCCAATACTAATGGTATTTGTTTGACGTGAGGTAAGTTAAATAAAAAGGAATGTTCTTTTGTAACAAATCCAATAAATAGGAATTAGTTATAAAACTGCAAACTTCTGAGGAATAATAGTAACGCTTCAAGGTGATGCTTTTCAGTTCTGCCCCTCTTAATATCCTCCAGTGTTAGCCTCATTTCAGTGCCCAGTGACTTTCTGGAGAAAGACTAGATAAAAGTCTTTTCATAAACTTTGGAGAAATGAGGTCAAGAGAGAAATCTTGAGATCAGAATACCTTAGATTGGGCCTTATATTTACTTTTCAGAATGCTTTTGCATGAAGGAAAAATGAGCCTGAGGAACCAAAAATATGGAGACAGTAATAACAGAGAACATGATGAGGGAGAGAAAGGCTTGGGATGGAAGCAGCTACTAGAAAAATACCCATAAAATGACCGTAGTTTGCAAAGGATATGAGCCTGGAAGACGGACACGTTGTGAATCTGTCAGCCCAGATTCACCTGTGTACACTTGGTGAGGGATCTGATGTGAACTGACAAATGTCTAAGAAGGGGAAGAAAGAGGACTCCAAAATGAGTTTCTAAGGCATTCACTTGGCACAGAGGAAGCATCAGAGAAGACAGGGAGTAATAGCATCTGTGTAGCAGTAGAAGAAGGCTGAGTGCCTCACCTGGCATTGTCCCTACAGATCACCCCTGTTTAGGCCTGAGGCCAAGGAGAAACTGCAGGTGCTAGCAGAGGGGCAGCCTGAAAAGTCACAGGCTTAGGTAGGTCTGGGAGGCCAGGGCTCCATGGCAAAGGTTGGGAGTCCAGAAGCTCAGGTCATTGGAGCCATTGATGACTAGGGAGCCTAGCCTTCCAGTAGAAGCCATATGTCCTTTGTTGTCTCTGCTTCCCATGGGATAGGGGCAGCTCTGGTATCCAAGTAGGTCCTTGCTTCTGAGTGAGTGGCCAGAAGATGTGTTGATTTCATGATAGGATGGGAGTAGAATTGCCGGGATCAGCGAGAGAGACTTCCACCAAAGCCAGAGCTACCTAGGTGGTTCATCAGAAAGGGAAGAAATCCTGGAGAGTATGGGGTGAAGTCCAGGATGTGCCTCAATAGTAGCCTTTCCTGTCATTGAAATAAGGTGGTTGTGAGAAATTAAAGAAAGAGATGGCAGATTTTCATTGAGTTTAGCTGCGGTACTGTGCTAGAGGTAGTCTGTATTCTTTAGTTCATTTTATAGAATCCTGTCAGAACAGTATCCCTCTGTGGTCCAGGTGTGTAAACTAAGATTCAAGGGGTAAGTAAATTACCCAATTTCACACAGCTCAGTGAATAACAGCATTGAGATTTTAACCCAGACAACTGACTGTGAAGCCCAGGGTTTCCTTCCTCTACAAAGAGATGAGACCTTCAGAGGTGATAAGGGCAGTCCCCTCTCATCCAGTACTGGGACTAGCTGCTCCTCATGGATATTAATGAGAAGAACACAGGACCAGATATTCGAAAACCTGATCCTTACCAATGCATGTGGTCCACTTGCATGGGTTTAGATTCCTCAGCTCTCTCAGTCTTGGCCTGTCTCTCACAGTTGTTACAAGAATCTAGTAATGGTTTTTCTGTTGGTTTTCAAATGAGAAAATGCTTTGGTAGAAATAAACCATGAGCTTGCTGAGAGTGAAGGTGTCCATTCCAGTAGGAGGAGAAATAGCACAGTAAAGAGCACAGACTTGCCTGCCAGGGTTCATGGGCCCCTGGGCTCTGAACTGGGAGAAAAGTCAGCTCATATGCATGGTGGAATGGGACAGTTCAGGCAAGGACATAAGGAACCTTGAATTGATGTTGAGTATGAATCCTCTTCACGAATGCAGTCACAGAATCATCTACGATTAGGAAACTTAAAGAAACTTTCACTGCTTAAAGAATTCTCACTCGAAAAACTTCCAAGTGTCCTGTCTAAATTTCTCATGTTGCAGTATAAGCCAGTCTCATCATTTGCAGTGCTGATGAAAAAGAGATGGTTGCTATTGTCAAGTTTAATAATCCTTCAGGTTCTGGGTCTCTGTTACTGGAGCAGTTTTTTAAAAATGACATAACAAGCCTTAGCTTCTCCAAGGCCATCATCACTTGGAATTCCTAAAGGGAATTTGTTAACTATTAGGAAATGGAAACCCGACAGGAAGGCTGACAAGTCAATATTAGCAAAAACAAATGACCATTTTTCTCTTTCTCTTATTTACATTAAAAACTAAAACTACCTTATAATAAAATCTTTTGATGCTGCCAGTTGGAATTTGAACTCACCTAATTTCCCCCCTACTGAATTGTCTTTTTATCTAAATTGCTCCCACTGTTGTAGAGGGCCTGGTTTCCTATTTTCTCAGCTAATATTCACTATGTATTACATTAATTCAGCAGGTGATTAAGACACATGCAGTTGACTCTGCCTTTCAGTCTGAATTTAAACTAATCATTCCCAAAAGGACTATAGTGTCTCTTTAGCAATGCTACTCAACAACAAAGAATTAATTTCCACTTCCAAATATGTCTGAAAGTAGCAGATATCAACACAGGGTAACTTTCTACTGATTCTGTTGAATTCTAATCATTTCTCTAGAACTCTGGCATGTATTCAAATGTTTTCCATTTTGGAATTGCATTTTCTTTGCAAGGGAATTGGAGAGTGGTTACTTTTGCTGCTTTTGTCATTTAATTACACAGATGAATATCTTAACATCCCTTTCTCCTACTCAAGGTCATCCTAGAATGTTGTTTCCTAAGCTACACAGGTACAAAAGGAGATGACCTTTTTCTCATACATTTGTGACAGTGCCTCATTCTTATTATATTTGGTTTGATAAGTGTAAACTCCAAAATACAAGAGCATGTACAAATTCGAGGCTTTGTTTTTCTTCCCTGTAGAAAACCAAAGGTGGTCAGTTGTGGTGTAGCCATTCCATGTCATCAGAAATCCGGCCTCTCTATTTCTACTGCTGTCCTAAGCAGGTGATTTCTATCTGTTACATCCCTGATCCACAAGAAGTAGGAAAAATGGGAGAGGACAAAAAACTTCATCTTTTTTAAAGATGCTTTCCCAGGTGTCTTATCCAGCAACTTTTACTTACATGTTATTGGCCAGAACTTCACCCGGTGACCACACCTAATAGCAAAGAAACCTGAGAAACACAATTGAATTTCATACATGACAGTATCAGTTAAATTTCAGGAGTTCTTAGGGCAAAGAAGGAGGGGACAATGGGTATGGGTTTTTTTATATTATGGTGATCCAATATAGCAAACTTAAAAAGACAGTAAAAGAAACAAATACGAATGTCTGCATGCTCAGGGCTGCTGTTCTTTTTGTTGGTCAGAGGTATCCAGTGACTTGTCATTGTTTCCTGAGGCCTCAGAAAATCAGAGGGACAGGAAGTATGGGTTCCCTGAATAGTTTTTCTTGCCAAAATGTCCCATATTCCTTGCTGATTCAGTTTCCCTGGTCTTTTGTTTGAAATCTGTAATATTAAAGCAGTGTGCTATACCGTTTTAGTTTCCCTGACTGTACCCTGGAGTTTGAGACAAGCCCCTAGCTGTAGCACATTCTCTGTGCCTTTCAGCAGTAGCTGCCTCTTGTGCATTGCCCTTCATCAGTGTATTCTAATATACTGAACCTTATCCTTGAAATCTCTACTGAATCTCAGGTAGTTGCTGGAGGCAGGAAGGGAAGTTGGGAAGACTTATGAAAAACATTGAAATCTTCCAGGAGCACATCCATTTCCAGCATAGGGCTCCCGGGTTTATGCTTGTTAATTGCTAGGGGACCCATACTCTCCTCAGCTGCGTGTTAGGAACTGGAGACACAGCATTCAACATGGTAAGCTTGTCCTTGCCCAGGAGAGGACAGACTACTGCCAGCCAAATTGGGATTGGTTTTTATTAACAAGAGTGTTAGGAACTTGCAAGGTTGGAGATTTTAACCTACTTGCAAGCTAAGACATAGTCTGCCCCAGTTTCTTAGGTGCTGGGGGGAGTGAGTGCACTGGACACTGAGGGATGAGGGACAGTTTATCCCAGCAATAGCAGTAGCTGAAGTATGGCATTTTTCTATCAGTTTCCTGATCTTCAGTGCCTGTGGTGTGAAGTAAAGAGGTTTTTATACCTTTTATATAAAGCTTGCATTTTAGGAAAGGAAACCTGAGCTTAGGGAACTCAAATCTCTTACAGTGGGCAGTGAGCATGCCTATTCCTTGCTCCATGCCTTTAAATCTCCAGAACTGTGAGGTAAACTCTTTTTTTTGTAAGTAGCTTGCCTCAGTTATGTTGTTGTGGTGATAAAAATCAGACCAATACACTGCTGAACTATCAGTGTTACTTACTAGTGAAACAGTAGTTACACAACATAGTTCAGTATAGAAAAGGAGACTTCCAGGAGAACTCCCTTTCATAAGGAGCAAGAGCATTGAAATGATTATGCAGTTTGATTTAGTAATTTCACTTTTCCAAATCAAGTCTAAGATTTTTTTAATGTATACACATTGGTCAGTATAATAAAATGTGGTATATTTCCATGATTATAACTTGTTAAAAATTAGGGTTTTTTTTCTCTAAAATTTGTAATATGTTATGAAGAATTATTCATAATAACTGGCAAAAAGGATCAAGTTTTGGGGAAAATTAATATATTTGGAAAATTATAAACTGGTGAACAATAGCTGGTGAATTCTCAATCATTCTCATTTTCTTTAAATCTTTTTCTGTGTTTCAAATTGTACTGGTGAATGTTGGTAATGGGTGGGAGTGTGTTCCTTTTTTCTTGCGTTAACTGTGCCACTCTGTTGGAAGGTGTAGTGGTGTCATTTTAAAAGCATGGTATCACCCCATTTGAAAACTCTTTAATATAGTGTAAATAGGAGGTGTTCATTGAGATTTCAGCCAGCTTCTGCTCTGCCTGCAGTAACCTAGTGCCTGCAGTTTCCTAACAACAACAACTTCAACCATTTGTCAGTCTTAGGAGGTGGTTTTCATCTCGTCTGAATCCGGAGGAGGAAATTAATAATTTTATTTGTTAAATAGCTCCTTTGTGCTGATATTTCATTTTACATTCACAGTAACACAGAGTAATGTGGGCTCTGAGCATATTTTCCCTTTTTTACAAATGAGGAAATTTAAAATCAAAGATTGAGTGCCTTGGCCAGAGTCACATAGCTGGTAATTGCCAGTGTTGAGATTTCACCCCAAATATGTAGACTCCAAGGTTCATGCTGTCTTCATCATTGCTCGTAAGCAAGTTTTGCAGTTGTGGTATTCTGATTAATTCTTGGAAAGCAAGTTTTGGCTGGTTAAGCTTACATTCCAGATACAGTACTTTTTTTTTTTTTTTTGGTACCGGGGATCAAACTCCGGTCCTTGCGCTTGCGCAGCAGGCGATGAAACCACTGAGCTAAATCCCTGGCCCTGTACAGTACTTTTTTGAACTTGTACAAGCGAATGGATTAGGAAATGGAATCAAAGCAGAGTAGGTGCCTAACAGTGCCAGCTAATCTAACCAGGTACATTTGCCAACATTGAAATACTGGCTCAGTCTTGTTTTTGCTTCTTTCTTCTTTTTATTCAGATCATGATCCATATTCAGTCAAATATGTTGGAAACCCTAATAGAGATACTGCAAGGTGCTGCAGAAGGAAATTTATCCAGATTTGTGAAAAGACAGGAGTTCTCTGAGGAAGTGGTGAGTGTGCAAATGTGAAAGGTCTTCTTAAGAGGCTCCACCTGATTATAACATCCCCTTTAAAGAGATTGTCAGATAGGTAACCTCTTTGTTCCCGTTTTAAGACTTTCATGTGAGTGCGGAGATTTTTTTTTTTCCAACAGAGTATATCCTATGAACTTCTGGGAACACTTTTTCCATTTACATTACTCTTTTACCTGCACTATTTTCATGGGCCTAGCCGCCTCTTTCCTTTGGGAAAGGACCTTTTTCCTTCCCCCTAATGCCTCCAGTACCTTTACCCTACTTCTCATTCTCAATTAGGGAGTGACCTAGGAAAAATAGAAGTCATCAGAAGAGAATGGCACCATGCTGTTGGCCTCTAGCTCCTTCCTCTGTCACTGTGGAGATGGTGAGTGCAGCTCGGCAGCCAGCCTCTCCCCACTCCAGCAACATTGTCTTAATATGTGCCAGGCTGAGTATCTTTTCAAATGTTTGAAGGGCATTCATAATTCTTTTTTAGTGAACTCTGTATCTCTTACCCATTTTTCTTTAGAGATATTGGTACGTTTCTCAAAATTTTCAAAAAGAGCTCTTTGGCCGGGCATGGTAGTGCGTGCCTGTAATCCCAACACATGGGAAGCTGAGGCCGGAGGATCGAAACGAGTTCAAGGCCAGCCTGGGCTACATAGTGAGGTCATGGCCAGCCTGAACCACATAGCGAGATCCTGTTTCAAAAAAACAAAAATAAAAACAAAACAAAAACCAAAAAGAGCTCTTTATGTATTAGGGTTAGGTAGCTGTTTGTATGATTAACATTTAAAGTATTTTCTCTAAATTAGTTTACCTTTTGATTTTGTTATGATGTTTTTGCCATATCAAAAAATTTTTTCTAATTTTTTGTAGTCAAATTTATCAGTCTTCTCCTTTATTGACTTGTATTATAACTAAGATAAAAGTTTTTCCACCCCCAGGATATAAAAGAATTCACTAATGTTTATATCTAGTACTTGTGTCATTTCATTTTTAAAATTTAATGTTCATTTGAAATTTATTTTGGAGTTTGTCATAAGAAAAATAAAACTTTATTGTTTTTCATTGGCTATCTACTTATCCTAGCACCACTTTTTAGAAAAGTCTATCTACATTGATTAATGTGAGATGCTGACCTTTGCCCTCAACCACACAGATTTTCATCTTTTCTCACTTCATTCATTCACATGAAGGACTGCTATGCCCCTCTAAAAAGAACTGCTGCCCGTAATGCTATGGACCACTATGTATGGATCATTTTAATATGTTATTAAGTGAGAAAAGGAAGATGAAAATCTGTGTGGTTGCTTTGAGAAGGGTGAATGTAGATATATATTTATGTACACAAAATCATATGCCACATAATGATATTTTGGTCGACAACTGACCATATATATGACAGTGGTCCCATAGATCATATTGCCCAGTGACGTACATCAAAGCATCTTGGTTTGTCTAAGTACACTTTGACGTGTGCACAGTGTTGAAGTGGCCTGATGACACATCTCTGAGATTATATCCCCATCATTAAATGACACATAACTCTCATGTAGATTTAGATTTTTGAAAAACAGTGGATGGAAATACCAGAATTTAATCAAAACAGAATAGAAATGTGACTTCCCTCAGTGTAATTCTTTTGTATCTTTGATTTTGGAACAATGAATTGAACAGTGAAATGAATTGATTTATAGATAAATGAATTGGTTCATACAGTTCAAGTAGCTTTTGAGCTAGTTCCAAAGGTAAGTGTGAGAGACTGCGTGTGCCTTCTTTTTTTTTTTTTTTGGGTACTGGGGATTAAACTCAGGACTTTGTGCCTGCAAGGCAGGCGGCAGAACCACTGAGCTAAATCCCCGGCCTATGTAGATTCTGTTATTGTAAAACTCTACATTGTAGAAATGCTGACTTTAATGTTTATTCCAAGAGTTTTTAAAGATGTTTTATGCATGGAGACAGGGATGTAAGCTATCATAGGTGCGATCAGACCACCAGAGGAGTATTGAAAAGAATTGGTGATTTTCTCAAATACTGTTACAAAATGTTAGTTGTTTCCTCACTGATTTCCTTTTTAAAACTGAGTTAAAGAATATGGTACAATCTCTTTTCTGCATAAATGGTAGCATCATTCTCATGATGCCATTGAATATTTCTGTAGTGATACAACTGATGTTGGGAGCTAGGTCAAAGCTCCCTCTAGCTTGGCATGTTCACTACTTTTGGAATCCATAAGTTGTACATTAAGTCAGTTCACCTTGAATGTGAGAAGTAAACAAGCTGTTCTTCAAGAAGAGCTTAAGCTGCTTATCTGAAGACTCAGCCAGAACCTTTTGTTTGAAAGGGAGATGTGCAGATTGACAAATAGAATTATGATTTATTTAGAAGATGACTGAAGGATTTTTAGGAACCTTGATCCCACTTAAGTTTCATTTAAAAATGTTAAGTTGTATGTTTAATAGCTGAACTAAGTAAAATGTTGATTTTGTTCAGAAAGTCATTTTGCATATCAATTCTGAACTCATTTTTGCATATACTTTCTATTTATGGTCTGGTTAGGCCCTTCCTCCATGCCCCTGGCCTATGCATCCAACAACCTCCTCGAAACATCCACCTAGATGTTTTACAGGTGTCTCAGTCATGTCCAGAACAACTCTTGAGTTTCCCCTTCCAATTTGACCCTTCCTGACTTCCCTGTCTCAATAAATGATGGCACCTATCATCAAGTTGCTAAAGCCCAAATCGGGGACATTAAATCCTTTTAGTTTAAACTTCAAAATACCCCTCACATACATCAGCTACTCCATTGTTTCTTCCCAGTCTAAACTACCATCCTTTCTTTTCTGGGCTACAGTGGGCTCTCTGGAATAATGTGCACATTCCTGTACCCTCTAATTCATTCACTATAAAGCTTTCAAACCTAAATCATATCCCATTATAGACTCTGATGGCTTTTAGGACAAATTCCAAAAAATTGCTATAGGTGGTCTATAAAACCCTATTTAATTTAGCCCCGCCTCCCACTCTAATCATTGCATTGAACAAAGTCAATTCAATTGATATTTGGCCTTCTTTCCCTGGTTTGCTGCACTGTAGAGTAGATGCCATTTGAACTCCCCTTCATAGGATATTGGGTATGGTTTTCAAGTACTAATTCTGAATTTTTTGTGTAGCTTGTGGAATCTTTTAAAGTTATTCATCCTTCTAGTGCCCAGTACCCTGGTTTTCCTTATTTTAAGTGTTTTTTTACTACTATTTATTTTTACACATGTGTAACTTTGCTTAGAGCATAGAAAGGACAACGAAGATATGTTGCATAGGTATGGTGATCTGCTTTTACTTTTTTCCAGCTGGCCAGAGTGAGGGAAAAAGTGAAGGATGTACCCAACCTTGTGGACCGATTTGAGGACATCTATGAGAAACTACATATACATGGCCATGTGACTTCTTACACTCTTGATGCTCTGCTCTGCCATACCCCCAGGGACAAGAATTCTCATACTCCACTACTAAACAGGAGGAGGGTCAGCCAGCGTACCCTCCAGCCCCTTAGCCAGCCCCTATTTGCCGAGTAACACTATTTTTAACTTTCCTCTGGGTCTGAGGGGCCTGCTTCAAATGAACAATTGGCTTCTCTAAGAAATCAGGCCTCTTACTTCAGTGGATGTTGTGCTAACACTTGGTCTCCCTGTATCACAAGTTCACTGAATGATGGCATGCTGAGCAGTGAAGTTTCTTTGTTGTGCTGCTGTGAAGATCTGGATCAAGCAAAGAAAGGTCAGCTCCCTCAAAGGCAGTCTTCCCCTGTGTCACTGTTGAGGAAGGAGTATGATTTGAGTCTTCAGTGCAGCTTGTAGTACCTGAATAGATTCCACTGAGCAATCATCAGGAATGAACTACACCAGAAGTGTGATCTTCCCTGTTTTTCAAGAGAGTAATTGGTTTTAATAATACCCTTGCTGATTTTAGGAGCTCCAAAACCCTGTCCTACCATGTTGGGAAACAGCCAAGGTTTTTCCCACTGCCCTGCCATCATTTAATTCTCTGACCCTACATAGAACACTTGAGCCCTCATTTTTCTATCTGCAAATAATAGTGTCTATGTGTGTTGGCATAATGACTTGAAATCTTCATCCAAGGTTCATTTTATTCAAGTATTCTCAAAAATAAGAGAAATAAAAAGATACCTGAGCAAACTTCTTGAGATTGTGTTTCTTTACCATACAAACAAAACCAGTATTTAGCTTTTAGAACTGATAAGACAAATTTTAATGATCACTGCTTTGGTCATGGGTATGCCATGTGCTTTTCAAAAATAAACACTAATAAAAACCATATGATGCTTAGTTCTCTGTATGGATCATAAATATTTGGTCCTCTGATTCATCTCATTTGTTAATAATTTTATTTCTCTTTGGGTGCCTTATTTAAAAACAACAACAGAAACTTGTGTCATGAGAGCAAGTCAGAGCTTCCTCATATTCAGTATGATTTGAAATACAGCTGATGAATTGTACGTAAATGGTCCCAGTGTGCAGAAAATACACAGCAACATTGCTTCATTGCATCTTTGTTTCTGAAGGCCCAGAGCAGCGTCAAGCTCAGCAGCACATATCAAGAATCCTGTAGACTCTCCAGCGCTACTTCCAGTGCAAAGCCTGTTCATTTTATTGTTATTCTGAAATGAGAATTGTCCACAGAATTAGAAATTTTAGAGCAGGAAGAATTTTCTGAATCTTCAAATTAACTCCGTCTTCCAGGTTGAGAAAATGATGTGTCCAAATTAGTGTAACTCATTTGTGGTAGAGCTGAGATTAAAATCTAGATTCCTAGTCTGTTGTCCTTCCCACTGTATCACATTATATTTTCAGGGGAGAAAGGAGATTCTCTTAAGACAGAGTACTGTTAGGCTCCTATGATTTCATGGTTGGCCATGGACTTGCCTCAGTTGCTCACTTGGGAAGTGAGGCTAGTCATAACCTATCTTACAGGCTTGGTCCAGCTTAGAAATATCAAATGCATTTCTTTAACTTGTGCTCTATAAACCGCTGGACAGTTCCATTTAAAGAAACAAATTTTCTGCCTTCAGTAGAACTTAATGGCTTCTGTGTATTTCTGCTGTTTTGTTTAAAAAACAAAAACACTTGGATTTTTATATCTTCCAAGTCTTAGGTACTAATAGGACATAATTTCCTGTCCCCTGACTGGTCTTGGGTCCTCTCTAACATGCACAGAGAGCATTTAAGTGGTTATAATGCCCTGGGGGAATATGGCTCTGGTATCAAATAACCAGTCAGTTGCAAAAAAAAGAAAAAAAAAGCTAGCAATAAAAAGCAATCTTCCCATTCTCTGCTGCTCTATTGCTGATGGTTGTCTGACCAAAAATTAGGCCATTCTATTTGTTCCCATAAGTTTTTCTACAGAGGTGGCTATATGCACAGTATTCACCTTCAAATAATACATGGCTCTGAAGTCTTAAAATCATTAGAGGAAAAAATGCTCAGTATACGCTGTGATGAGTATTTTATTCCTTAAGATTTAGTAATTTGAAAAACTTGTGTTTCTTAATAAGTAATTTGCCTATCTGCTTCTGTTAATGAGAATATTTGATTGCACAGAGTATCTTATTTCCTCAACTTCCTAGTAGGTGCATGTTTTTATTACTGTAGATATTGATTGCCCTAGAATCCATACATCAGGATGGTGAGTACAGTAGAGTACTGAGAAAGAAAAAAAAAGGTATCTCCTGAATTGGGGGTTGCTGGGACAGCATTCTGGGGACCTATTGCTGTGTCAGAAGCACTTCAAATCTTGCTTAGAATGACACCAGTCATTTCATTTTTATTCCTCGTTAACCTGGGAACTGATGGGTTAGTGGGCAGTCCTCAGTCAAGGTCTTCTGTGGGTGAAGTCATCATCCAATTATGGCTGGGACTCTAGTCAGCTCAAAGGCTTCCTCGCTTAATATTTGTAGCAGTTGATGCCAAGACCTGAGCTGGGACTGACTGAAATATTTACACATAGCTTCCTCACAGCATGGTGGCTGGTTTTAGGAGTGACTGTCCCATGAGGACCAGATAAAAGCTGTTGTCAATTGTATAATCTGGTCTCAGAAATCACATGGCATCACTTCCACTAGAGTCATATGGTCACCCAGATTCAAAGGGAGGGAGGCATCCCATCAGTGATGGGAATGTCAGTGAATTTATGCACATATTTAAACTGTCATTGTTTTTTCTAGCAAGTTTCCTTAAATTTTCTCCTTTGCCATTACTACTGTGCCAATTAAGGCCACCCCCCTCAGGCATCTGTCTTACAGCTCCCCCTGTGCTGCAGCCAGATTAACATTATCACAAGTTTGTCCTTTCCCCTGTTTAATACCACCTGAGGATTCCTCACATCCCTCTGGATAAAGCTCAGACTTAGCATGGCTTAGAAAGCCCTTCATAGGTTGGCCCATGTTTGCATATCCAGCCCCATCCTGTGCTCCTCTACACCCTTCTCCCCCCAGCTAGCTCACTCTTATTTACCTTTCAGGTCACAGTGTACACATCTTTTTATCTGGGATATCTTTCTGGACCCACCAGTGCCCTCAAGTCCCAGCTATGTGAACCACCCACATGCCTCTCTGTACTTCACTTACAAAAGCATTTTCATATGCCTGTCTCTACCTGTTTTCTATTCTTCATTAGGCTTATGTGCCATGTCTATTCTGGCCTCCACAGTTTTCCCTATCTAGCACAGTAGGAAAATGTATGAGAGGATTAAGACTTACTTAACATGCTAACTCATTTATGTATATTCTGTAATAATGATGTTCGTCATGATGCCCATCGATACACTTTTCTCTCCAATCCTCCATTCACTCATTGGTGTGGTCTGAATGCTCTCCATTTTAAATTCATATGTTGCAATCTTAAACTCTAAAATGATATTAGCAAGTGTAGCCTTGGGGGAGTGATTAGGTCACAGGGTGGAGCCTGTGTAAATGGGATTGGTTCCTCCATTAAAGGGACCTGAGGTAACTTGCTTGCCATTCTACCATGTAAGAACACAGCAAAATGGTGCTGTGAACCAGAAGGCAGGCCCTGACCAAATCAAATCTACTGGTGCCTTATTGTTGGACTTCTCAGCCTTCAGAATTATGAACAATAAATTGTTGTTTACAGCCATCCAAGTTAGAGCAATTATAGAAGGACTAAACTACTCAATACCAAACACCATATTTAGACCTGACTCCAAACTTTTGTTCAGCCCATGGTTCACCCTTTTCTCCTCCTGCCTAAAATGCTCTCACTCTTTCTTCATCCTTCTTTTTCTGCCTGTTTATCAAGATCCAACTCGCATCACCTTTTATATGAAGCATTCCAAAGCTATTTAAATCCACATGTATTCTCCATTCATCGAATCTCTACAAACGACAGGGCAAAATGAAAGGCTCTTAAGATGTCACAGGGAAGTGACAGACAAGCTCCTTTTTTTCCAAAGCAGAGTGTTTTTAGTCCGCCATGTTGAGTCCAAGGACTTTTTGGTCTACTCATTTGCCTGTGGCTTCAATGTATGGTACTCATAACAGAGTGATCAAAGTCCTGAAGAGTAGACTTGGTTGTGAAGTACACCAATCCTGGACAATTGTGGACAGTTTCGTTGAGTATGAAAAAGAACAAACTTTTAACCAATTCATACTAAATGTTACTGGGAAATGACAGTTGGGAGGTAAAAGATTCACCTGGGGATTTAGCTCAGTGGTTTCACCGCCTGCTGCGCAAGCGCAAAGACCCAAGTTTGATCGCTCGTACCAAAAAAAAAAAAAAAAAAAAGATTCACCTACTACAGTTGAGGTAGGCAAATTCATAGATTTTTCCATATCTTTGCAAGTGAACTAAAATTTCTTATAGACTCGGATTATATGGAGAACCTGAGAACAAGGATCCAGGAATACTTGATCTTAACTGAATGATATTTTAGTCTTTTGTTTCTTTAAGATAAATGTTTAATCTCTCTGGATATTTTCTTCCTGTCCCATTTCACATCCAACGTGTTAGCTGTGCATAAGTCTTAAATTTTAGCAAGCGTCAGAGTCACCTGGAAAGTTTGTTAAATATAGATTTCTAGGTCCCACCCCGAGACTGCCTGATTCTGTACATCTCAGCTAGGCCCAAGAATTTGTGTTGCTAATAAAGAATTGGATGGTGCTGTTACTAGTTTGAGCAGTGCTCTTTAAGAACAGCTGGTGTGAGAAAGCTGGGACTCCTTGTGTGGATGGGAAGCTGAGGTTTACACCTCTTCTTGTCCTCCCTAGTCTCGGTTGTGAGGAGGGAGAGGAGTGAAAAATTGGCTCTGAGCTAGGATCTGAGGTATCTGCTGCCATGGCAGCGTTGGTGGCAGCAGGCCTTTCATGGAGTCACACTGATGTCCACTGCTGAGGCCTGCAGCTCTGGCATCTGTTCCCATTCATAAGTGCCCTCTCTCTGCTGTTGCCTGGAGCCAACCCCAGGCCCTCCACTGAGTTCTTTGAATTAGGAGTCCCAGGGTACTATGATAAGGACAATGAAAAATAGATCTATGTATTGCTTTCAAAAGCATATACACAAAGCTATGCAAACTAGGGGTGCATGGGTAAAACTGCTCAAGGCTAGACTAGAATAGCCCACAGTTCAAATTTACTTCATAACAGTTATCTACAAGTTTGACTTGAGGAAAGTCAGTAGATAAGCCAGTAGATAAAATCCATTAAAATGTCATAGTGACAAAAGCTATGATCAGAAAAAATTTCATATGCATAAAAACTGTTATGAATCAAATCATTGGAAAATCCATCCCTATGCAAATGACTTCAGAAAAGTAAAAATGAAATGATATTTTGAAAAAGAAAATGGTTTGACTGTATTGCATAGAAAATGAATCAAGAAATTAAATTGGCTTAAATGACATTAACTCAAAAAGTATCTTCCTAACTAAACTGATTGCTTTTGGTGCAATTCTGATTGAAATATATTCTACTCATTAACATGGGAGTCAAAATAAGGGAATTAAAAAATGCCCTCAGTTCTCATGGAGCTTCATTCTGCAAGAGGAACAGATATTAAATGGGTAACTGGGCAGATGACCACATGACTCTAATTGGGATTAGTGCTGAATCCAGGGTATTAGTCATATCAGTGTAGTATATAATAAACTGTATATGCACACAGAATAT